CAAAGGAGAGGAGATGGCGAGACTGAGAGGACGGATCTACGGCTCTCTTGTGACTCCGGCGTCGATTTGGTCAGTGAAACGAGACGCAGGAAGACGATAAAGAGCAAGTCCGGGATTGGGGTGCCGTGCGTTGCAGTTTAACCCAATGCCAAGGGCTGGGCAATTTTTCTCGTGACAGAGCAACCGTCCCGCCGACAAGACGGGAGAGGAGACGAGAGTGCCATTTTAGACGCGGGCGAAAATGTCGATGGCGTCGAGTAAGAGGGCGAGACGAAGGGTGCCAAGCCAGAACCATGCATCTTAAAGGACTGGATGCCAAGACTGAGCAATTAACTAGAATGGCGCCAGTTTGCTGGTGATTTGGAGATGGGTGGTCATCTCGGAGACGGCGATGGCGATGGGAGGGCATTAATTAAGGTACGTAGGTACGTAGGCAGAATGGACCACGTGAGCTGAGTCAGTAGGAATAAAGAAAGACGGGAAGGAACCATGAAAATTCTGTGGGAAGGAGCTCTTCTCACCACGTCGACCACTTTTGCTCACGATGCCCTCACATCAAGCCCTCACATGTAATTCCACATCACCTGAATAAGTAATTAAACGTCGAGGTTCTTGGCAGTCGGGTGTTAAAGGGCCGATCAATGGATGATTCAACAGCCCCGCCATTCATACCTACCGTCGTAATAAAGCTGTTCGGCGAAGGATTCTTGAATCCGCCATGTTGGTTCGTCGGCTGAATTGGTTTTATGCCATGGGCAAGATGTGGCACGCACGCACACGGTGAAATCGATTGCTTGCCTTGTTCTCGAGTACGAATAGCCAAACTTGATTGGGTTCGTAACTACGAAGACTGCGTGCTCTCGTCCTCTCGTCCTCTGGTATTCGTAGAGGACACTCACTGCCTCCCCAAACAGGAGAAGGCGTCTGACTCTTCAGCATCCAATCTCATCTCTCGTACGACGCCCACGGCCGTCTCTACCTATTTACGGGTTCAACTAATTACACCTGCATGAGCATTGGAGCAACTGGTCCGTGAGTTTCTTCCAATGCAACCAAGCACCAGAACCTTTGGGCGAGTCGTGAGTGGCTTGAAATACGCTTCTGCCAGGCTTCCCCCCTGTCCGAGTCTCACGTCTTCACAAGCGACACTCGACCTGACGCTGGCAGCGACAAGCCCAGACAGACTAGTTACGGAGTATTTCAAGATAGCTTCTTTGCTCGTTCAGCCACCCCCGCCACCATCGCTCTTGATTCTCGATGGTAGCGGCTGGATATGTCAGACTACCTCAAGCCTCTCCCGCGTCGTGCATACGCCCAACTCCCGTCACCCTCGTCGATGTATCTTCCCCAGTTTGCGATTCTCAACATCCCAACTGCTTTCCCATAATTATAAGGCTGTCTTCCCCCCTCTCTCGCCTTCTCAGGGATTTAAATTTCCTCTGCCGTTTCAACCGGAGCCCACTCAACCACCGCGTCTCTCCAGCGCTAATCGACTTTAGCCCACCTGGCCACTCCAAAATTGCTCCATCATGGCCCTTTCCCCCCCTGATGCTGCCGCTTTGCCTCGCCCAATCGGCCGGTTCAGTCGCCAGATCTCGCGCCTGTGCCTGTGCCTGTGCCTGTGACCACTCGCCATTCGCCCCCCCCCCCCCCCCCCCCCCCCCAGAGCAATGTCACAGGCCCCCTGATTGATTCCCTCGTTATACCCGAAAGAAGAAGCGGCCGACTCGATGCACTTGTCCGTCTTTTGCCGGGGAAGAATCCCGCAATACCACCGTCATTATAGAGTAGCCTCATTCGTAGTCTCGTAGGTACGACGTCGGTAGGCAGGCAAATCTGGAAACCATTCAAAAGGAGTGCCCAGCCTTATACGACGTCTCTCGTCTCCTCTTTCGTCCTCGTCCACCACTCGTGTCAGTCACTCTTTTGCAACTTCGACAGCCAGTGCCCCTCGCCGACCTCAATACACTCTTTCTAAACAAACAACCACGCTCTTTTTAAAAAAAAACCACAATGGCCCGATCTCTCGCCCTCCTTCTCGCCGGCGCCGCTGCCGTTGCTGCCCAGACCACCACTGTCAGCGTCTTCCTGCCCATGTTCGACGAGCAGGCCGTCCACGCCTCTGTTGTTGCCGCCGACTCGGACAAGACGACCTACTTCATCAACTGCCCTTCCAGCGTCGACTCGAGTGAGTGCGGTGTGGCCTACGGAGGCCAGACCATCGTCTACGGCCCCAAGACCTTTGCCCTAAGCTACGATTATGACGGTGGTGATGAGGGTAAATAGTAAGCAACTCCCCCAGCTTTCTCTAACCCATATTGGACGAAACTAATCTTGGGTATAGCAAGGAGGATATTGGTTGCAAGCTCGATCCCACAAAGGACTACGCCAGCTGCTCCGTGTCGGTCTCGCAGAACTACGACGGCACGACTACCTCGTCTAGCACCGCCATCGCCACCACTGGTTACCTCGACCTGCTGATCCCCGTGACCGTCACCGCGGGCGCCAACAAGCTCAAGGGCGGCAGTGACGACAGCGAGGACACGGCCACCACCCTGTCCACCAAGGCCGCTCCCGCCAGCACCACCGGCTCGGCCGACGCCACCGCTACCGAGTCTGGATCCTCCGAGTCGTCTGCTTCATCTTCCGACTCGACCTCTGCTGCCGAGTCTGGCTCTTCTGCTTCTGGCTCTTCTGCTGCCGAGGCCACGTCCACTCCTACTGCCTCTGACAATGCTGCCGGTGCCATGGTCACCCAGAACGCCGTCCTGGTTGGCGCTGCCGCCCTTGTCGGTGGTGCTGCCATGTTCCTGTAAACCCAGAATGAGAGATGGTGATTTGGGATATACCCGGAGGATATTGTATAATAACGACGCGACTGCGTCTAATAGATGATTCCGGACTACGGTTAATGTATATGTCTAATGTGATGCGTGGAATGTCACCATACGACCTGGGATGCCAAAGAAATTCATTGATTCACTGACCTATTCTTGAGTATAAAATGTGCCAACAGCCCGACCATTTGTGCCATCTCCATCTGTATATGTACACTTGTTCCTCTCAAAGACTGAGCCACGCCCTCGCCGTCCGGGAATGAAGGATAATTTGGCGCAGTCAATCCTGGGAGGGATTGTGGTGAGCATGGTATACTCCATTCTTCTTGTACACGCGCGGCCTCGTCGTAAAGAGCGTCCTCTGTTGCCTATTTACTCTTCGAGGCAATATCAGTATCCCATATAGTATCGTCAATTTAAATTCTCAGCAGTTCTAATGATCAACCTTCACACTCGTTGGAAGCCTATTCCAGATTGGGTTCCACGGGACCGCAATGATTAGAAAGAAACACCTTAAACGCCCAACTCGCTCCTCAGGGTCAATCTCGTATCCTCGATACATCGAAGTGAACCTGTCTACCGGGCAAAGAGCATAGTTTTCGCTCATGACCGATCCTCTCTCCCATCGAGCCAACTCGTGCAGTGGATGCATCGGGCAGCCTGCTCTATGTTAGCGAGAATCTCGTGTCCATTCCATCAACCACTCACCTTCTCATTAATCCTTTGCCTACAGTACTTGCACTTTATGGTATGCTTGATGATGGGGTCATGCGACACCATGGTGTAAAAGCGTGCCAGCATGTACAGGCAGACTCCAAGCATGAAGAATTGGATTGTTTGGTTGATGAATATTCTGTCAATGTCAGGGTCTGACAACCTTTCACAAGCTTGTTAATGCTCACCCATAGGACAATACCACAGCACCGTCGTCTTGGGCTTGGTGGAGAGTATTGTACCCGGTCGATTTATTGAAGTTAGGACCTGGTTGCAGCACTGCGAACTTCTCTTCAATGTTCTTGTTGAGGGGCAGAATGATGGATATCGGCGGCATCAACAAGTCGCTAACAAATGACTTGGTTAAGTCGGTAAAGGCAGCCGCGAGACTGGCAAAGGTTAGAGTCGGAATGTCAAGTGACGAGGGTATTGGTACATCAAACCAAAGGCAATCTGGAGAATATTCCCCTGGAATGCAAAGTCGATGAAGCCATCCCAGAAGCGTTTCGCCTTCCGTTGGCCCCTGCCGAGTAAGGAATCCGTCTCGTTGGAGCCGCTCTCTTCATCGCGTGGGCTAGGCATGGTGTGGTTGGATGGCATCTGGGGTCTGATGGCAAGCCGAGAGAGGAGAGGAGGGCGAGAGAGATTTGTGTCGTGTGGTGCGAGATGTTGGAGGTTGGATGATCTGGTCTGGGAGACTGCGGGAGCAAGCAAGATGCCTGCCTTGTATTCGTATCTCTATCACGGTAGGCGCATTTGGCGACAGGACCCTACCTAGCATTGCCTGATTTGGATGCTATGACGCAATGGGCGTCGCCTGCAGGATTAGGAGACGATAAAAGGATGCAATGCAGAACAGACAATTCCACGATAATTCAGTAAAACGATGAAAAGACCTCAAATTCCTGGCACCCGTTGATTCACTGGAATTAACCTATGTTTCCCCAACTAACATGTTACATTTCAAAGTTGAATCATCCGAAACTGAGACTGCGGGTGGAGGTTTTCACTTGCTCGTGTCGTCTTGTGCTTCGTTCGCCGAATGTCTTGGAGGCAGAGCCTGAGGTTAATCGACCAGTCGGCGATATTATTCATGCTAACGGTGCTAATATTGCCGTCTCCTAGGAAAACAACCTGTATCATGGAGGCTGTGGTGGTGGTCAGGCCATGAGAGAGGACTGTTAGATGATCTTGTCAGAAATGCAACATGCAGACTCCAACCCCCTGCAGACAAACCACTGCTGTGCTACGACCAGGCTTAGACTATTTGCTTAGTTATCCTATTCGATCTTACTTATTATTTATCATGCATGCTGCCCCTATTTAGAGTGCCGTTGCCAAAACGTGCCGACCATCACCTCCCGCTCACGTCGGCAAATCAACCAGCGACTCAACAACACTACAAAAACGACAAAAATGGCAAAAAGAAACTGGATGGCATGGGGCAACTGCTCCCGGCAGGGCTTGAACCTGCGACCTTCGCATCACCAATGCAGCGCCTCAAGGCGAGTATTAGTACGAAGCTCTAACCAACTGAGCTACGGAAGCCGTCCAGTGGGTGTTGGCGGATGACCCGCCTTTGGATGGGAGACGACGACGCAATCGAAGACTAAGAGCATGGTAGTAGTGGAGAAGAGATACATCGTTCAGCTCGCGGTGTGCCAAAGCATGTTGTCGATCCAGGGTCGGGCCAAAACAAGTGTTGAACAGTTACGATTCATGCTAATCCCAATATCCCAGGAACCCTGTCGACAGTCGGAAGTAGAAGGTGTGTACCCCAATCGCGGGGAAATAACCTTTGGGTTGGGCAACAGAGAGATGCCAATTCGTCCTGGCCGTCTCTAAGACCATCGACAACTGGGAAATCCCATCCGCCATTGTCTTGACAACAGGAATGTCCGACAAGAGGCTGGGACTTCGCCCTCTGAGTCACTGTCTCTTCTTTGTCTGCGTCATTGTCTTACACAGAAGTCGACTTCGCTTCCAGCTGATGCCGTTCTGAGACATGCATACTGACACTGACTCAATGCTGACGGCACATATGCACAGCGGGGGAACAGGCAACCGGGCGTGGTAGGGCGCCCGCGCGGAGGCGGAGCGGAGAGATCGTCAGGCGGTGGCATCGGGATGTTTTTCAGGATCATGGCGCGGAGATGGTGTCGAGAGATGTTTGGTTCTGTCGGGCGCAGCTGAAGCCTTCCGATTCGAAGTCTTGAAACCAACAAGTCAAGCAACTGCATCATGTCAGACGGGGAGACTCTCCAATGCGCCCGCTGGTGCACGTTGTTCGTATGTAATAAGGCTCTTCATACTTCGATTGCATGAATGTTTGTACCTCGTACAGGATGCATATGCATGGCCGATCCAGACCGCACCCGAGAGCATGGCCCAAAAAAGACGGACCGGGGCGGATCACTGGAGTTAGTAGCTGAGCTGGTCTTCATCGTTGGCGAGTCAATCTTGACGGCACAACACCATCTTCGTCTTTTGCCTTGCATCTTGCATGTCAAGCCCCTCGATAGGCTATCAGAAGACAGGAATGGTGTGAAATTGCCCTGGCCCATTGCCTTTCGGATTCGGCTCCGTCCGGCATAGAAACAGCCCGTTTTCGTGTGTTTGCTCCATCTTGACCACTGGTATCACTTCGACGGTTGTGCTTTGAGCCGGCTGGTGATGCGATGCATGTCGACACTTTAGTCCCCGGCCGAAACCCCACAGATACCCCTCCCTCTGAGCCCTCGGCATGCGGAATCTGGCAAGACGAGGGACGAGGGGCATGAAGAGGATACACAGCAGGAGAAAAGGCTCCCTTGACACATGAGCGGTGTGATTTGTGCGAGTCCTTTTGTCAAATGATGTCTTCTGGACCGCAAGTGAATGCCAGTAGAGAGGTCACGCTTCCCCGCGGGAGCCCCCAGCAGCCCCTCCAAGTTGCTTGAACCTGTGGCATCCGTTAGCCATGACGTCGCTGTGCTCAGTTGGTCTGTGGGTGGACAACTGGACGTTCCCGCTAGAAGCCACTCTAATAGGACCCTATTTGCAGTCAAAAACTCGAGAGTCCACTGGAGAGGGGCAGCCAAGCACATGGGGTGGACGCCACGTGAAAAGGACTGGCTCTTACATCTGCCGGGTTGGCGGTTGTCTCCATCATGTGCAGAGAAGCGTTGTGGTGTTGTTGTCGTGGGAAAGGCAATCGAAGGCTAACGCGTTACTGACGATCTCCGTGAAGTAAGGTATGGTTGTGATTGCGTCCTGCCTGCCGCCATTTGCACTTTTGAGAGTGAATGGAAGGCACCAACCAGGCTCTACCTTCCTCTGTCAGATAGGCTGCAAGTCACCTGCAGGGTTCAGGTTCCTCTAGAAAAAAAGACAACACCACCACCACAACAAATCACAACCATCCCTTTCTCTTCTTAATCTTCTCCTTCTTCTCCCTTTCACTCAACCCTGCACTGCCCATTGCGCGGTCAAAAGGGGAGCCGGCCACTGGACCTTCGGAGACAGAGCGTCTAGACCTATTTGCCTTGATTAATTTATGACCATGATGCTTCACTAGCAGCATTACTTTGTTCATTTCCTTTTGCTGCCCAACTCTCCCGCGCAACTCTCCCTCAACTAGCCCCGTCTCCCCGAACCATGTGGATGCAGCAACGTCCCAGCTTATTTCCCCCAGTTCTTTGCTTCCAAGGCTGAAGCTCAAGTCTCAAGTCCCAAGCTAAGCCTCTGCCTCCGTCGAGACTCTCCGTCACCAGAGTCTTAATCGCTATTTAGCGTCTTCAGGTTCCCGAACGAAGCCTGAAAGAAGGAACGAAGAGAAAAGGAACCAGAACCTGCCTGCCCTTCGACTTGGTCCGGGCCCCTCCGCTCGACTCGATTCCCATCAGCTCCCATCCGACTCCGACCCCGAAGCCTTGCGCTGCCACTCTAGGTCCCTAACTTTGCCGGCACCCATTTTCCACCTCGACGGTGGCCCTCCTTTTGTTTCTTTTTATTGTTTCTTTTTTCTCTTTGCTTCTTAATTTTCTTCAACTTTCTTGTCAGTGGCGTCAACCTCTGCCTGTTTTTTTCTTCGTTTCCCTTCACCCGCGCGACGTCGAGGCGCATCAACGACCCTCATGTCTTCCCTTGAAGCCAAGATCGTCGTCCTCGGCGCCCAGGGCGTCGGCAAGACGTCTCTGGTGATGCGTTATTGCAGAGGCTCATTCAACCCAGCTCAGATCACTTCTACAGTCGGCGCCAGCTTCCTCACGAAGCGCGTCGTCGATTCTGACTCAGATACTGTTGTTCGACTCCAAATATGGGACACAGGTTTGTTGCACTCCCCCACCTTCAAGACTGACTCGCGAACACGGTTGAACTTGCTATTCTAAACGAATGAAGTTGCGAGAATGAGGAAACAACTAATGCTAACCATTGCAACAATAGCCGGCCAGGAACGTTTCCGCTCCATCTCTCGGCTGTACTATCGCGGCGCCAACGCATGCATCCTCTGCTACAGCATCACCGACGCTCAGTCATTTATCGACATGGGCGTATGGCTCACCGAGCTCCGCCAAAACCTGCCCCATGACGTCGTCCTGCACGTCGTTGGTACCAAAGCCGACATTGTCGCCCGCGACCCCTCCGCACGCCAGGTCCCTTTCGAACGTTGTATTGCCTACGTCGCCGAGAACCTGGCACCCGGCCTCGGTAGCACGCCGCCTCCGACTGCCACTCCATTCAACATCCCCGGACCCTTGGCCGGCACTCCGACCTCCGGCGCTGTTGAACCCCGGAGCCCAAGCTCAAAGCGTAGCTCCGGCTTCTGGGCTCAAGAGGTTGGCTGGGATGCTTGCCATGAGATCAGTGCTGAGAGTGGTGAAGGTGTTGAGGAGGTCTTCCGGGTTGTTACCCGCAAGCTCGTTGAGCAAAACCGCAAGATGCAGCAAGCTCTTCTTATGGCTACAGCGATACCTGGAACCCCGGGCTACGAAACCGGTATGGATGGTGGCTATTTTGACGGCTCAAACCCTCGAGGCAGCTTCCGTGTCGGCCGCGACCGCCGTAGTTGGCTCTTCTCCCCTGGGTTTTCGCCTGCTGTCACTGTTGATCAGGCTAGCGCCCAGGAGCAATCGCAGCAAAACCAGAATCAGAAGAACCAGCGTAAGTGCTGCTCATAAACAGCTTGACTACGACAAGAGGTTTAATGATAGTATGGATTTGGATCTGATCAACGAATCCATGAAACTACACGAGGAGGGCATATTGCATGCCTCTAGAAAGATGACGAGGATGTGCGTGGTGTATTTGTGTGATACCCGGTTTGCTTGCTTGGTTTTCTCGTTTTCACTTTTCCGTCTTCGGCTTTCTTCTTCCCTGGCCAGGGCCTGGCTTTCTCCTTTCTTGGGTCTTCACTGTTCGGACGTTGCAGCATCTTCTCTGCTCGCCTCTTCTAGGTTCACGATGCATTAGGATTCCATATGTCATGAGGAGTTTTTAAGGATATCGGCCGGTTATGGCTACAAGGGGTGGTGGTCTTGCATCGCGGCATTTCTCAAGGGGTATAATACGGTTTGGAGCGTACGGCTGTTCTCTCACGAGATTCTATACATTTTCCTCGTCTTGTTCTTGGTTCTTAACCAAAGCGTGTACAATGCTTCCACAACTTTTTCCTTCGCCGTCTTCAGCATTTGGGTATCCGAGAACCGTAGAGTTCTCCAGCTCTGTTATAGCTCGTTCATAGACCAATTCATTTCGCTCCTGATGCCTCCGTCTTCTTCGACTTCACATCATCGTCAACCGTCGGTGCCGCGGGAATGTCTACACCTAGAAGCTGGTGTTCGAGACCAATGTAGCCGTCGCTGACGACAAGGACATCCAGCTTACGGGCCTGACCTGGCCCGGCCTCTGGAAGCTTGATGGTCGTCTTGGCAGACGGTCGTTGACCGGCGTCGAGCTTGCGGCCGGGTGCCGCGGACCAGCCCACGCGTTTGACGGCGATGACTTCGTCCTGGGCAACGTCAGCCACAATGACGAACCAGCCTTCCGTCTGCGGTTTGGGAAACTTGGGTGCGTAGATGCGGGCTTCGCGCTCAACGAGTGGGTTGAGGCGCTTGAGACTAATGGTCACGGAGAGGGCAGTCACGTTGTCAATGGACACGGACAGGTTCGGTAGGATGGACACGGCGCGGGAAAAGCGGTTTGTCTGACTGGCTGGGATGCTGAGTTTCTTGGCGAGCTGACCGGCTTGACCGTGGTTGAGACGGGCGAGCTGGACAAGGGTGGTCTTGTCCTTGGTGTCGGTGTCGATGCTGGGGAGGATGGAGGCGGGAGGGTCGGTGGGCCAGCGGGCGCACTTGATGGACTGCAGCAGGGCCATCATCTGCAGACAGCTCGAGAGGTAGCCCAGCTCGGTGAGGACGTCGATGGAAGCCTGGATGATACGAATGGCCTGGTCCAAGACGCTGGTCTGGTCACCGACGTAATCGGTGATGGGCAGTTCGATGCGGGACATGTGGGCCTGCAACAGCAAAAAGGCCTTGACATGAGGATCCCACATGGGCAGACCA